AAGAAAATAAAAAATCCACCCGATCGTGATGGGTACACGATATTAATAAAAAAAGGTCAAAATTGGAAGAATTCCATCGTCTAGTTCAAGAACTACGAAACGATCCAAGACGATTTCATATGTATTTCCGTATGACGAAAGAAGAATTTGATTATGTACACAACCTTATTAAAAAAAGACATACAAAAACAAAGCACACAATTTCGAAAACCTATTAGTACCGAAGAAAGGTTAGCTTATTTATGTCCTTGGCTTAACTTTTCTTCATACTGACGTTTTCTACGAATAGAATTTTCTTTTAGAATTTCAACTAGCTGTTGTGATGGATTGTTAGTTTTTTGTTTTTGTTTTTTGTTACGTTTTATATCTTCGTAATATGTTTCATCTGCAGCAGCATTGCTGAATGTTGCCTCATCTTGATTATCTTCAATATTTCGTTCATTTTGCGTTTCTCTGTGTTTCTGTGCTTTTTCGGACTGTATATTTTCTTCTTCAGACCCCTCTGACAAATTATCTGGTTCACTGAACAAATTTGCAGATGTCTGAGATTCGTTTAAGTTACTATGCGTCCTTTAATTGAATAAAAAAACATTAGGAATAAAATAAGATATAAAATAATAATTTAATAATTTAATTWTTACTTTCTGCTTTCTAAATATGGTATAATAAATGACATTTGTGGTTCGTATTTCCACACAGACTTCTTTTTGGAAGCCATGCCACTTTTTGTTTCTTCTCTACGTCTGTTCCGAGCATTGCAGAAACATCTCCTTAAATTTTCCCATTTTTGTTTAGCAATATTCCCTAAAAAGGAAATTAACATTAAAATTTTTTTTTATTTTAGATTTTTAGCGTCAGGAAACTCCTTTAGAAGTATTGGTTTCAATTACAGAATGGGTTTCAGTACAGTTAGAGAAATAGTTAAAGAAGTTTGTGAGGCAATATGGGACAATTTAGGGCCAYTTGTTATGCCAGAACCCACAGAGGAAATGTGGAAAAAAGTTGYAGAAAGATATAAAACCATGTGGCATTTTCCAAATTGTATAGGGGCTATAGACGGTAAGCACATCAATATACAGTGCCCTATTAATGCCGGATCCACGTATTACAATTACAAGGGAAGCCACTCTATTGTACTATTAGCGATAGTAGATGCAGACTACAAGTTCATTACAATTGATGTCGGATCTTRCGGAAGAAACAGTGACGGAGGAATTTTTTCTAACTCAATTATTGGTAAAAAGTTGCMCAACAATACACTCAATATACCGAAACCTAATCCTTTGTTAGAAAATGGAGATCCGTTACCATATGTCTTTGTCGGAGATGAAGCGTTTCCATTAAAACCGTATTTGCTGCGTCCATACAGCAGAAATAGTTTAGGAGACAATGAACCTAATAAAATATTTAATTATAGATTATCGCGGGCACGACGTGTCGTTGAAAATGCCTTTGGAATTCTAGCTGCAAGATGGAGATGTTTCCGAGGTCACATTGAAGTACAACCAGAATTCGTTGATAAAATTGTTCTCGCATCTTGCTGTTTACATAATATGTTGTGCACAGACAATGAATTTGAACCCGACTTAGAATCAAATCAAGTTCCAGAAAATGCTTTTTTAAATATAGATGCTCTGCGAAGAAATAGCACT